TTAAGATAAGTTTGCTCATTGACGTTGTCCATGAAGCAAAGGATTGACCACAAGATTGACTTGGTGTACATGCCGTACAGCGATAAGGGAATCTGCAGCGTCAAGTTATGTTTTCACGCCAAATGAGAATTCAGACTTTATGGGCTTGCTCAGTCAGGCTGATGTGCTTTCAAAGGCTTGAGGCAGCGATGGGGTGAAATCACTGAAACCGGCAGATAAGAGATGGATTCGACTGAGCAGGAGCGGACTCTCATATAAATCGAAGAGAGAGGATTGCGGATCTAACCGCAGTCTTGTATCAACATTCCCGGCACAGTGGGGGGGATGTTGGGAACCAGCGGGAAGTGTGAATAGATTTCAAATAGGTCTAAATAAAAAATTTGGAAATTGTGATATTGAATGGGTGATACGAGGTAATAGGATAGGTGAATAGCCCTTGACAGAAGGAGAGATACCACAACTGCTTAGCACACATTTGGTCAAAGGATAGACTTCACTTGTCTCTGACGGGTTGTAGTGTAATGCTAAGACTGGCAAGGCTCATGACTATGCCGACTACGATGCCGACGAAACGTCTGGGAATGTATCAAGTCTACAATTTAACTTCGGAAATTATCATACATACTATGGACTCCGGACAAAGTTCGTTCCTCTAGGTCTTCCTGCCAATATGACAAAGTTGCGAAAACAAGGTCAAACAACTTCTAGTCAACGAAATGAGGCCGCAACCATTTCAAAGGCTACACCATCCTGGTCTTCATATCTCCGAGGCCTGAATTGTCTTAAAATTTTCTTCTTCTCTATGCCCAACTAGCAACTGGGGCCGCAACGTTGTAGTAACATGTTAAAATTATACGCTGCACTACACGGTTTATGGGTGCTGATGAGGCCCAGCTGAGGTCAAAAATGCATTCCAGCATTTTGGGATACGAAGCTAAGTGAAATTCAATGCCATCGTGAGACCTACTCATACCATTGTGGGTAAATTCAATTATCCATCCTTTTTCACACTATGAAACCTAGGCTTAATACGATTCTTATTTGAGATATAATGGTTGCTTTGCAGCCTACTTAATCAGAATATTACTTTATGCTAGTTTTAAGCCCCTCATTTTGGTTCTCATCCGGTCATTTAATTTGCCGTATACATACAGCATCTAGGGCTAAATAGATTAGCTTTTATTGAATTTTTGCTTATTTGTGAGAATTATACCTCGCCATGATGCTATCTTTTATTAGAGACGTAAACTTCTCTTTTTTTCCCCGGAAACTAAGGAGATAGTCTTTAGGACAGCTTCAACCAGAATATACAACTCCAGTATAACGACAGCTAGCCATGAGGAATCCGCCGTCACCTTATGGTGGGTAGCTTCAGCATCTTTTCCTCGCACTTTTATTCAAAATGTAACCAAGCTCAAAAATTGTTTTGTGATAGTCGCTTTTTGCACTCAATTAGAATGACTTTTCTTAGAATAGCACTTCTCAATTGTTAACCTTTTCTCATATTTACTCCTATTAGGCCTTGGATATCATAGAGATCCGCAGACTCGAGCTGCTTTTATGGAGGTACTCACCAAAATTTTGCAACAGGGCACAGAATTCGAGAACCTTGCTGAGACGGCTCTGGCAGAGCGATATGAACGACTTGTTGGCTTAGTCACAATGATTGGTGATAAAGGAGAATTACCTATTGCTATAGCGCTTGCCCATGTTACACCTTTTGATAATATGGTTAGTTATTTATTGCTCCCAAGATGAAATTTTCTAACATAATACATTCACGGGTATCTGTCCATTTATTTACATAATTGTACATTTTTATATCTACTCTAATAGGTTTTAATGCTATATTTTCTCTATTATCTCCCTTCCTTAGCTTATACTTTAACTCTTACCACTTATGCCTTTTCAGGATGAACTCGCTCGTGTCCTCGTTACATTATTTGATGCCAAAAATCTTCTTTACCAGTTGTTGTGGAACTTGTTCTCCAAGGAGGTTTGTCACACTTTACATATTGCTTTATTCTCCATTTCGCAAGGATTTTAAGCCTGCATTTACCTGCTTCAACTTAGTGTGTTGTAGATATAAGTTAAATCGTGCAACTTAGTAGTAACTATGGTTTATTTGAATAACCTCTCTCATTTGGATTTTTTGTGATCTACGCTCAAAGCGAGTACACTGGTGAAATGTATCTGGTTTGCTATTATGTTATATGAGCTACTTAATAAACAGTGATTCATTACGACGTAGTCTAACAAAAGTTGTTACACAGACAGTGGATAAATTGCTGAGACTCAGAAAGCAATGGACAAATACGATAGTGACACACTTTGAGGATATTTGAAGAAGGGTGAATTACTATTGCGATAGATTTCCAGAGACGTTTAAGCCGATCAGGAAGAAAACTTGAAACTGAAGCTTTGAAATGTTACTATGCGCTTACGATGCATATTCGAAAGTGTTTCTTTTCTAGGTGCTTTACAATGGATTTGACCATGCATGGTATGTTCGAGTTATAGAAGGCCTAGTCTGAGCTGACCATCGACCTGGGCTACGTTGGGCTAAATGGGCAAGTTTCGACGATTCTTCTTCTCTAACAAGGCTCGCTACACACAATTATGTTTGATTACAATATTGGAAAAATTAAAATTAAAACGGGGAATGGATCGATAAATAGCGATGAAATTTAGTCAAGTTATATTTAGTGGTTTTAAAAGTTGATTTTAGACTATAAACTGGTCTTGGATCAACTATTGACATTTTATTGTATTGTAAAAAATGAATGATAACTGACTAAAATGACTGGAGATTTAAGGAGTAACTGGGTTTCGATAAATCTCCTGAGATAACATTTTTAGAGAGACCTTAATTTTGTATAAAAGTGCATGAAGAAGAGATTCGTAGGTTGATCTCACTAGAAGACGATGGATGATTCCCATTGTACTGCAGCTGTTTGGTTTAAATACGACGTTCAGGTTGACGCAGTCCACGAGATATCCTTCCTTGCTTCGAGTGTGAACGGGCTTGCTGGAACTGATTCTTGTAAAAGTCTCACTTTAACGCTAGGTCAAAAAGACTATCCGACTTTAGATTACCTCTTATGTAAATACAATTAAGCAATTAAAAGGCCTAGATAGATATATAATGGTTTGGCTAATTACCTTTTCTATTGGTCCTTTACTTTTTTCGGGTGTTTATGTGTGTGCGCGCGTGCGTACGTGTGTGTTAACGTCTATACGCCGTCGTCTTCTGGTGAGATACGAATCTCCATTTCATGCACTTTCATACGAAATGAAGTTTTTCCCAAAAATACAATTATTGTGTTTTGTAAATATCTTGCTGCTTGTCTATTACCTCCCCAATTCGTTTTTAAGGCCATCATTAAGGATGAAAATGGAGCCTCGCTAACCCTTGAATGACCGTTATGAAGTCTATAAATCTACATTTAGAAACACAACGATGGTGACACTGTCTTTCAAATCATATCTCTTTTGTTGGCCCTATCAATGAATTGCCTTATATTAAGAGCTAAACTCTTGAGGATATACGAAGGTATGAAGACCAAGATGGTGTGGCCTTATGTGTGGTTGCAGTCTCCCTTCGTTGTATAGAGGTTGTTTGACCTTGTTTTCGCAACATGGTCATATTGGTAGGTAGACTTATTGGAACGCACCTAGTCCGGGGTCCATTGTCTGCATGATCATTTCCAAAGTTGAACGGTGGACGTGGAACATTCCCAAACGTTTCGCCGGCATCGTAGTCGGCATCGTCAGTGAGTATCGCCATCCTAAGCACCACACAGCTACTCGTCAGAGACAAGTTAAGCCGATCCTTTGACCAAGCGTATGCTAAACAGTTATGGTATCTCCCCTTCCGCCCTGATACTCGTCAAAGAGACAAGTGAAGCCGATCCTTTGACAAAACAGATGCTAAACAATTATGGTATCTCCCCTTCCGCCCTGGGTTGTCCGCGTTTCCGGTAGCATCCTATTATCC